GCGAGATGTGATCGAAAGAGAGCGTTGGAGCAGGTAGCAGAAGCTTAGCTAGCGCGTGAGAAAGGTGCAGCAGCGAAGGAGGCGTGATAGAGAGACGAGAGAACTGCCGCTTTCCCCCGTAACCGAAAGCGACAACTATGTTTTGCGTACAGTGAGTAGTGCAAAATAGCGAACACTAGTGATGCGTTGGCTGCAATTTATGCACTTTACGAATAAATGTCGGGCTGGGAAACACTGGGAAATCTCTAGAGTAACTTTCATCGCCGAAACATGAAACTAGAATTCCTATTTGATTCATAAAAGTAGGTAATAATCCCACATCAAAGTATGAACACAATTTATTTCGCTACTGTTGCTGTCAAAACTTGCTCCCAACTTCTTTTATCTATCTTCTGTGGCACTCGCAGCTCCGCTCTTTAGCTTATCCCTGGCTTACACAAGTGTGCCGTGGGTGTACTTCTTGTAACCGCAAAAGTAAATCAAATAAGCCGCAAATATATCGACAAGTAACGTCCATAAACAAAGAGCACTACAATAATATATCATACGAGTGAGGGGCAGCCAATTAATCTGGCAGCACAATATTATGATGGTGTCGATTGCCCAAAGACAGGCACGAGCCATATGCAACGAGACACTGACACAAGCAAAGCCGCGGCACGCACGTGACCAGTGGAGAGTGAGTCTGGGATTGGGAAGCGGTGGCACTGCTGGCTGTCAACTAATCCTGTGCATAATGTTGCCTAAATGCGAGCGCATGTCAAATGCCAAGACGACTCGGCGGGCTCAGGCAGCGCCTTGCCCCAAAGAGTCGTCGCCAGGTCTAGGCCGACTGCAGCTGCAGGGCCCAGCTTCAGCCTCAGTCTTCACTGAGCTTCAATCGCTGTCCCCAGCTTCACTCTCCGAGTGGACCCGTCGATGTGTGGCAGAGACAGAGCAGACCTCTCCGAATCTGCCGACGTCAAAATGCTCCAACCTGGCCTGTGCTCGGATCCGACGCTGGCGGTAGCTCAAACGGCGGAGGCCGCTATTGTGTGTCCGGGGATCCAAATGATGTGCCAAAGTGACACTTGCCGATACACAGATACGGCCACTCAAACACCATTAAGGCGGGTGTTCTTGCTGTTGTTTTTGTTGCACGAACCAGGAGTACGAGCGGCACGGGTTTGGGTGCTTGGGCTTCGGGCTTCGGGCTTCAGGCTTAGGCCGCCACCACATATTCCTGTTGATATTTGTTGGAATGATTGTTGTTAGTTTTATTTTATTTTGTGTGACAATTTCAGCAGCGGCAGCAGGAAATAATAAAAATGCAAACAAATCGTTAGATTTTCCTATAGAAGTGGTTTTACCCCCGCAACACCCCCCCACTCCTTCAGTGTGTGTGTGTTGGGTATTTGCATTAGTGTTTGTGCTGCTGCTGCTGTTATTGCCTTTGTTGCTGGTGTTGAGAGTGTCGCTGGGCATGTTGCTTAGATGCACAATGGGGCAAAGTAGGTCTATCAATGGGCATATTTTCAAAGTCATTTTAACCGTATAACTTAGATGAGGTCGTACATATAAATGGCATTATTTTTATTTTCATTTAAATACTTTTATTCAACCATAAATGTAATTTTAATTTCCATAATATTCTAATTAATATAAAGTGCTTCTTTTTATCTTTTATAACAACTCAAAAGCGGCATCCTTTAAGCACAATTTATTATATTTGCTGAATGTTTTTTAATGTCGCGCTTTCAGTGCAATATAAATTGCAATCAATATCTCAGCGATATCGATCAGCGAAACCAACGAACTTGAAGCGGAAATAAAATATACATCAAATATGGACAAAAAACACAGCAGGAAGCGTCAATCAATTAGCGCCAGTGCGAGGTGTATATAAATCCTGTTCAGTGATGACATTTCAATTGTTACCAGTTGGAATAGTATGGCGCCCACTGTGCTGATGAGGATGATGACGTTTGGGTCACAGAGTGAAAGAGAGAGAGAGAGGGAGGAAGAGAGAGGCTGAGACGATGAAACCGAAGCCCCGGCAATTTGTGCAATTTTTCTTGTTTAGATTGTTTTTGGTGTTTGTTTGCTGGTTTGGATTGGATTGGGTTGGGTTGGGTTTTTATGCTTGCGATAAGCCCAAACAGTGTGCCCATAACCATTCTCATATTATTTGTAAGGATTTTTGCATTTATTGCCAGCGTTTTCAAGGATTTGCCCCAGTCGAAACCCAAACCCAATCCGAAGCCCGAATATGGCTGCAGTAGTTATCTTAATAGTTATCCGACGATTGTTCCTATACAGTTAGTGCGTGGAGCAGCAACTTTATTTGCCAGTTAAATTTGATGCCATTTAACGGGCAGCGGCAGCAATGGAGACGTTTGCCCTCTCGTGCCGTAAATCCATTAAATTGCCTCAAATTAAACTAAACACAACTAAAAATGGGAATGTGCAAAGAACGAAAGGGACGAAGCGGAAGCCGCTTGGGCCATGTGTGACAAAACTGCTGAAAAAAGATAAACAAAACCTGTAAATGAACTGCAGGAATGCGAACGGGCAATTACACGCCCCAAATTAACATCAACATGGATCGGCAGACACCCAGCAATAAGTCAACTCAACTCTGCGCTACTTGCACCCTCGGCTGCAAGGGTTGTGAGTCCCTTCATAATCCCGTCTCGAAGGTGCTGACAGACTAGGGGACAGACTACCCAGCCATCGCTGACGGAGTGATATGAATGTGTCTCAGGGATCAAATGAAATTCAGTAAGAGGAATTTATTCATACATATGTTTTGGTGTGTGTGTGTGTGTGTGTGTGCCTGATGACAGTTTGTCAGTTGACAATCGTTGGCCAGTCATCGAGTTGGCATATTAACCGTGTTAATTACTCACTGAACGCATAGCTGCCTGGCAGATGTTGCCAAGGGGAGAGGAATCCTGCTGCCAGAGCGGCTATTTAATTATTAAATATTTACATAGTTGGGGTACATTTTGGAGTTTGGAACAGACAAAACTCGTAAAGATAACTCCCTGAAATTCCCCTTTTTTTCGGCACTTTTCTACGCACTTTCCCATCTTCACACCGCTAAAAAGTCTCAAGAAGAAAGGCTAATCAAATCCCAGATCCATTCCATTGTTTTATTGGTCGCTGTAAACATGTAAATGACATTTTCAAATCGAAACCAGTTCAAACATCCATCACACGCACAAAAGGCGAACAGAAAGCGAATGACAGACGAACAATAACCGAAGAGCAGACACTCAGAGGCGCAGAGGGAACTCAGCGGGTGTCCGTCATTAAAAAGATGACAAAGCGATGTCAACAAGAAATGTTTTGATTAACGACTAAAATGCCAGAGAGCCAAGCACCGATCCGCATCGAGTTCGGGGTTTTTGAGAACTGAAGATCGTGGAAAAAAGTTAAGCAGAAATCAAAAGACAAAAACCAAAAAGCAAAAAGCTAACGATATAAAAACAACAAAATAAACACACGAAACACACGAAACCAGGCAGCAAAAATTGGTTGTGTTGAAGGTAAAATATCAATTTAAAAGGCAATAAAAATATTTCATTGCTGATCGCGCTCGCTCCATTATAGATCAGGCTTCGGGTCTCTGTCGATATTCCGTTTCGATTTCGAATTAAAAGATTATGACCGATAATAAACTTGACTAATCATTTTTATTACAAGCAGCGCCATCTGTTTACCACGAAAATTGGGCAACGAAAGAGAGTCCGCGTCCAACAGCTATCCGTTGTCGTCTCTTTTGTGTGTGTTTTTTGTTTCCCAGAACCTTGATCGAGATCGAGATCGAGATAAGACTCGGAGTGGATGGTATGAAATGTAGGAAAGAAAACACGAAATATTATTAATGTTTCATAACTTAAATACATATATAATATATTTATTCGTTCACGTTTATTCTTTTCTCTCAATAGATTTGTAGTGTTTTTTGGGGTTTTTGTGTTGTGTTTTTTGAGACTATGCTTATAGAGACTATAAGCTAGGTGTCATCCACATGAACATACTTATAACTAGGAGGGGGAGCAGCTTCCTGCCTTCCTGTGAAGTGAAATTAGAGTTTGGGTTTTTTGTTTTGTGTCTCGTCTAACGACTAAATTAACTATGAATGTTATTAGATATATCTTTTGTGGGTTCTCTTTTCATCTGTGATATGGAAAGCAATCAATAATATTTTTTACACATTTTTTTTGTTACACTTAATATCACAATTTCTCATATATAAATCTTAGCTTTTGTTTTGTGTTCTTTTTTTTAGATTTTCCCATTTTGTTGTAAGCATTTTGCATTTCCAAATATGATTATCATATAATATTTATAGCATATTTATTTATGGTGGCTATGTACACGAGGTGGAAAGAAATAAAAACTAATTTACGAGTAGTAGGAAACCAAAGCGTCTACAATTTATAGCGTGTCATATTATTGCACATTCCAAATAGATTTTTAACACACATACAAACGTATGTCTAGGTGATGTTTGTTTGTGTTTTCGTGAGGGGGAATTCGGTTATCATTACTACAATATATCATATATGTCTCTGCCTGTTCTGTCTCTTCTGTACACACTGCTTGAATCGCTTAGGTACCCCATTAGATTTATATTTATATTTTAGCATTGAGTTGATGCTCTTTAAATTCGAATTTTGATTTTACTACGCCTTCAATTCTTCGTCTGTATCTTCAGATACAGATACCCAGCCGGAGTGTCCATCTATTAGTTTATTTTCTTGTTGGAACATGAAACGCTATCAGTCTCTTCTCTAGCAAGCAGTTTTGTTGGGTCCCATGTCCCAGGTCTTTCTTTTCTGTTGGCTGGAACACAAATTGCTTTTGATGCATCTTTGGATACGTTTCATGATCGCCTTTTTAGTATGGTTATTTTAGGTGTATTTTTGTCTGCGCTCCCTCTAGGCAGCTCATAAAAAATTGTTTATGAAATTTCGCATTCGCTTTTCGCTTTTCGCTTTTCTCTTTGGGGGGAACCAGCAATCAAATAATATTTTTGTGGCCAACAATTTATAAATATAAAAGATTTTTCCTTCTCTGACCACCGACCAGCGTGCCCCTCGCGCTCTCTCTCTCTCTCTCTCTCTCTCTCACTCGCTCCTTCTGTAAACCTTGAGATCATTTTGGTTGCGAGAATCGATTGCATCTTGACTGAGACAGCCAGTCCAGCCTTCTGGGAGGAAAGTGATCCAGATACCGACAGGGAGATCGCTCATTCATGCTGATCGTGCTTGATGGCTGATTGAGTGTCTATTTATTCGCGATCAGAGCTCCATTCACTCATCTGTAAAGATAGAAAGAGAGCAAAAAAAAAAGATGCATGAGTAAAAGTGAAATTGTGGAGGGTTTGTGTTGGTTTGGGTTGGGGTGAGGACTGGAAAGTGATCGCTATGGAATGATCAATGGAAAGGAGCAAAAGGTACACAAAATGGAGCTTAAGTGATCATTGATCGAATGGCAGACTAAACTTATTGCCAGAGGTATTTTGGTAGACAGAAAGTAGATCAGGGTTGAAGATCCTTGACTTGGAATGACTCAAAATGGAGGGTAAATGCATTTGAATAGTGATCAATGATTGATCATCGAAAGTAGCGATCTTGAAGGTGTTTCGGGTGAGGATTTGGTATTAATAGAAAACTTACATACTTTACTGCACGATTTCTGAAGGTCTCCTGCTCCATGTCCCGGATCTTGTGGGTCAGCATGTGCTGCTTCAGATTGCCCTGGAAGAGGAACAAGAAGAAAGAAAAGGAAAGCTGCCATTAGATCAGTTGGCTCACAGTCGGATGGAAACTAACTTAACAGTCCGCCCCATCAGTAGCACCCCCAAATGGACGTCCACTTCGATCGATGATCTGCCACTTACCTTTGTGGTGAAGCCGCGATCGCAGATGTTGCACTTGAAGGGCCGCTCCTTGGTGTGGCTTCGGTAGTGGATCTCCAGCGCCGAGTGGCAGGGGAATGTCTTGTAGCAGATGCCGCACGTGGTGCTGCCCCGCACGCCGCTCAGCGCCAGCGGATTGAAGGGCGCCGCCGGCATCACGGACTGGGCTATCTGATTCATCGCGTTGCACATATTCTGCGTCGTGGAGGGCGGGAAGAGCGGCAGGTTGGGGAACATGCCGAAGGGCGGACGGGCACCCATCAGCGGATTGGGCGGACCCGCGGGCACCTCGCTGGAGCGGGACGGGGGCTGTGGTGAGGTCTGGCGCTGGGCTGCCGCTGCTGCTGCTGCCGCTGCCTTCTGCTGCGCCTCCTGCGCCTCGCGTCGCAGCTGCTCCTGGTGCTGGTGCAGAGCTGCCGCGTGCTGCTGCATCTGATGGTGGTGATGCTGTGCGGCGGCTGCTGCTGCCACTGCCGCTTGCTGCTGCATGAGATGCTGATGCTGCTGCTGCAGATGGTGCTGCAGTCCCGGGGGCAGGCAGTCAATCGCCACCGAAGGGGGCAGCGGCGAGCAGGAGAGCATCGATGGGGGAGGAGGCGGCTGCGGTGGGCCGTTGGGCGGACTCCGTGCCGACTGCGGCGGACTGATGGGCTTCTCCTTGGGCAGCAGCGGCGAGCGGGAGCGGGAGCTGGAGGAGGAGGCCGAAGCTGCCGCCGGCGGCGGTGGCTGTGGCGCCGCCCGTGGCGTCAGATCCAGGGCGCCCTGCGACGCCTCCGATCGAGCGGGACTGCTGGCGCGCGTGGACGAGGCGCTGGGCTTGCTGGCCAGATGCGACTGGTGGGAGGTGGGGCTGGTGGGCGCTGAGGCGGAGCCCACGGAGTTGGCATTGCTGGAGGCGGAGGAGCGTGGCCGCGCGGGCGGATGGGGATGGGGATGGGCATGGGCATGGGGATGGGGATGAGTGTTCACCACGCCCGTGGCATCGATGCGCAGCTTCTGCTCGAACAGCAGCGACTTGAAGTCATCCCCGGAGCGGGGACGCTCCGATCCGGCGCTCTCCTGCTCCAGGTGGCTGTTGGACAGATGCTCCGAGGACACATCATCGTCGTAGTCATCCCCACAGTCCATGTTGTCCTCCAGATCGCCCTGCGACGACTCCGAGCCGAGGGCTCCATTGTGCGCTCCATGCATGGCTCCGGGTCCTCCTCCTCCTGCTGGGCCTCCGGGTCCCCCTGGCAGTGCGCCAAAGTGGAAGGCAGCCGCGGCAAAGGGATTCATGAAGTGTCCCGGCATCATGGAGGGCGGCGGATCGCGTATCTCCGCTGCCTGGATCTGCTCCGGGGTGAGGTCCGTGGGCTCGCCCGTGTGCAGGCGGATGTGCTGCTGCAGGACGAGGGCATTCGAGTACTTCTTGTGGCACACCGGACACTGGTGGAAGTTGCGCATGGGCGGCCGGATCTTGTGCACGGCCATGTGCGTCTTGAGGTTGCCCTTCGTGGTGAAGGCGCGGCCGCAGATGCGGCACTTGAAGGGCCGCTCGCCCGTGTGCGTTCGGTAGTGCATCTGCAGGGCGCTCTTGCAGGAGAGGACGCGGTCGCAGACGACGCACTGGTTGGGGTCGCTGATCTTCTTGTTCTTCATCAGCTCCTTGAGCTTCATGGTCTCCGAGGTGTTGGACACTTCGATGAAGTTCTCCCACGAGTTGTCGTTGCTGTGGGGCCGCGGCAGCAGTGCTGCCATCTCGTGCTTGATCGGATTGAAGAAGGGCGAACGGGCCATGTGGGCGTGGTGCGGATGTCCGTGGGCATGGGCGGGGGACCGGATGGGCGAGTTGTGCTCCGGCGAGAGCGTCTTGCCGGTCGTAAAGTTCAGGGGGAAGCGCTCCGCAAAGAAGTCCTCGCGATGTGGCATGCTGGGTGGCAGCTGGCCCGGCGTGGGCAGATGGTCCAGGTGCGACTGGGAGCCGGGCGATGGCTGCTGTGGGTGCATCAGCGCGGGTGGCTGGATGGGCTGCACCACCGGCGGATAACCGAGATGGCCATGGTGTCCATGGTGGTGATGGCTGCGATGATGATTCACTGGCGGGGATCGCACGCGTGGGGATGGCGTGCGACGCACCTCCAGCTGCTGTTCCGCTTCCTCCTCCTGCTGCTGCTGCTGCTGGTGGGATTGCTGCTGCTCCTCCTCGAGGCGCTCCTCCTTGATGCGCACCTCCAGCGGCAGTGGCTCCGGTTCGGGTTCGGGTTCATTGGCGGAGGTGTCCGCCTCCGCCTCCGCCTCCTCCTTGTCCTCCTCCATGAGCTCTGTCTTGACGGGCATGCGACCAGACATCTCCTCATCCTCCTGCTCCTGGAGCGGCGAACTCGGACCCGAGGACTTGCGCAGGTCCGTGGGCATGTCGCTGGAGGAGGAGGAATGCTTCAGGGCAGCGCCCAGGCCTGGCATTTGCGGGAAGAACGGATGAGGGCCTCCAGCAGCGGCGCCTAAAGACTTCAGAATCTCCATGGGCGGGCGGTACAGGCCCTGCAGTCCGGGGAACGCGGGCATGGCAGTGGGCGGCACAGCAGCGGGAGCTTGAGGCGGCGCTGGGGAGTGGGTGGGCGAGCTGTCGGTGGGTGACATTTGATCGAGCAGCGGCGGATGGAACTTGTCCATGTGCTCCGGTATGGGCGTGGCATTCATGGGCACGTGGGGGAACTTCTGGGCGTGCCGCTGGAAGTGCACCTTGAGGTTGCCCTTCGTGGTGAAGCGACTGCCGCAGACGTTGCACTTGAAGGGCCGCTCCCCCGTGTGGGATCGAATGTGGATCTGCAGGGCGGAGTCGGAGCCGAAGACCTTGCCGCAGTACCGGCAGCGATGCTTGAAGAACGGCTCATTGCGGCTCTTGCCCTCGCCGGACTTGTCGAAGGCGAAGTCATCGGCCATGTTGTTGGCCAGGATGCCCTGCGAGGCCGAGTCGAGCACCTCCTGGGCGCGTTTCTGCAGCAGATCGAGGGAGTTGGGCTCCGGCAGATCGTCGTGATTCGTGATGATGCTGGAGGCCAGGTCGGAGCCGAAGGGCAGTGGCATGTTCTCCATGTCCTTGAGCTTGGCCAGCGCCTCCTGGGCGTTCTCCTTGTGGAGCGGCTCCGCGCTGAGGCGACGACTGCTGAGGGGACGCCGCATGGCAGCTTGCTCCTCCTCCGCCTCCTCCTGCTCTCTGCGACGCTTCAAGGACTCTGCGGGGGAGCCAGAGGACTCGCGAAGGGGAACTCCTGCATTGATCAGATGCTGTCGGGCCTTGGCCTCGGCCATGCGTGCCTCCGCCTTCTGTCTGAGTTCCATGTCCGCGATGCGCTCCTCCTCCTCGTACGTGTCCGTCTCCTCCTCCGGCTCCACATCCTCCGCTTCCGCTTCCCCTTCCTCCTCCTCGTCTGCGTCTGCGTCTGCGTCCTCCTCCGTCTGCTTGGCCTGGTTGAGGGCCAACTGCGACTGCAGCTGCTGGATCAACTGAATCTGGAAGAGCTGCTGCTGCTGCAGATTGAAGAGCGTTTGCTGCAGGAAGGCCAGCTGCTTCATGGCCGCCTCATTGTCCGCTCCCGTCGAGCCATTGGCAATGGTCTTGGCCGCAAACTGGGCAATGGCCATCTGCATGTTCTGAATGGCCTCCAGGGTCACGGGCGTGGCGCCCGCACCTGCCGCTGCCGAACTTCTCGTCTCTGGCATTTCCACATCCACTTCGATGTCCTTCTCGGGCGCCACTGCCGCCGGACTGGCCGCCGTCGCTGCCTCCTCTGTGTTCACTGAGGGAGACTGTGGCCTGGACTCGGAGTGGGACTGGGACTGGGACTCGGACTGAGCCAGCTCTGAGCTAGGCTTGGTCATGACCACTTTGTTGTTGTTATCCTCAATGGGTTGCTCCTGCTCCTCATCGATCTCCTCTGCTGCTGTCTGCCCAGCTTCTTCCTGCTGCTGCTGCTGCTGCTGCTCCTGTTCCTCCTCGGGCTCGGGACTGGCTGTCGTCGTGGCCGTGGTCAGTGGCGAGCAGGCACCATTCTCCTCCTGATCGCTGCCAGTATCTGAAAAGAAGCAGAAGCAAAAATGCAAGCGTCAAGTTTGGTCTTTTGGCCATGGAAAAAGAAGTTCCGCCTGCAGTTATGGCCACAGACAGTCCAGAGTTCCTGCCTCCAAATCGATTGTCTCAATGTGTGAAATGAGTCAGCAAAGAAACAGATTTCTAATTAGTTAGCCACTCGCAGATTGAAGCCAACAACAGAAACGAACATAAAATATAACCAGTCTCCGCTCCGCCATACAATAAAACATATTTTCTGCACACAAATCAAACGAGTTGAGCGGGTTTCGCTCAGATACAGATACAGATACAGATGCAGATACAGATGCAGATGGAGCGGTGCCTATCAGCGCCATTTGCATATCGATCGCATTAATGTTATTTGCATTATTATTATGGAACAGCCACAAAGTTGAATGAGTATTTCGAAGCGAGAGTTCCGACAATTATGTTCGTACTTTTTGCAGCTCAAAAACGAAACCGCAGAGTTATGATTATGATGCCTGATAACTGAAGTGTATTTTAATTAATTGAAATTAATTATAATGTTCGCCATAAACCTCTCAGGCGGCGGCCTCTCATTCGTGCCGAGACAGACTCTGTTTTGGCCAGAAATTAAATTATGACGAACATAAACTTGCCTCGAACATGGCTAAGTCATTTGGCAATTGGCAATAAAATTGTTAAAAATTTACAATAACAGACGGGGGGGGGGGGGGGGGGGGGTNGGGGGGGGCGGTTGCTGCCTCGTTAAAGGCCATTGCCTTAGCTTCGTCCGATTTGTTTTTTTTTTAGTTTCAGTTTCAGTTTCAGTCTTCGACCCGCTCTGACGCGTGGGCGTCCAAAAACAAAATATAAATATCCAAAAAACTATATGTGTGTGTGTGTGTGTGTCGATTGGGCTTGCTGTGTGCCTAAAGATTTATTTTCTTCTTGTATTTTGCTCCACTGACAACTGTGGCTCTCTGCATTTTGCAGGAAATTCTACTTCCCATTGTGTACACTCTTTTTTTTTGTATATACAAATGAAATCGTGCCAGTTTAAAGGTGGATTAAGTCAAGCCATAAATTGTGCCTTGGCTAAATGCGAATGAATTACGGCTCTGCGCATGTGAAGCGAATAAATCCCAGGAACCAAACCAAACCAAACCAAACCCCCACCCAGGCCACAAATATTCATAATTGCTCGAAACCCCCCACCCTGTCCTGCCTGTCCATTAGCCAGTGTCAACTTTGTGTCTAAATATTTGCAACAGAAAATACAGAAAATTTGTCTTTGCTTTTTTTTTGGCCCATCAATTTTATTTTTGGTTTTTTTGCAGCTTTCAGCAAATCAATTTTTTATCTCGGGAAAACTCATATTTTCAATCCACTTTGCAGCTAACTAAAATCGGATTTCTCTTTGGTTTTTTATTACCCTGGAACCCCCACCACCCAGCCACTGACTTCGACTTTTGTGCTGGGCTGATTTTTCAATTATTCCATTGTCATATTCCATATGCAAATCGCCTCGAAATGCCAACCGTGAGCGCTGGCCTGAGGCGAAACAAATGTGCAGCCAATTGGAAAATGCAAAATGCAAAATGAAAAAAACAAAACAGAGGAGCCACCATAAAAATGTATGCAAAAAGTACGTGTGGAAAAACAACAGAGACCGATCCAGACCGATCCAGGGGTCAGTCAGGAGGAGGAAGCCGCGGCCGCCGCCAATTGAATTTCATGTCGAAGTTTTAGGCATAAATATTTCATTTTTCGCTGCGCAGCGGAACTTTGGAGCCGGGCCAATGGGGAATACAAAGTAGAAAAAATCGACAGCAAAAACGCATAAATAAAAATAATTAAATAATTAATGTCATTAAGTTATGCGAGCGAGCGCGACTTCGATTCGATTACAAAATCAGAGCAAAAGCAGCAGGCAGCAGGCAGCAGGCAGCGAACAAAATAAAGCCAAATAAATAAATTGATGAGCCTTTCCATATGCATATGAAGTGAGTACATAAAGGCATCTGCTTATGTGCTCCCAACACTCCTGCGATTTTCCCCTTTTTTTTTGTTTGCGATATTAATATAATTTATTTGCCGCACTAATGCGTTAACATTTATTAATGCCCAGCTCTATATGCATCACTGTATACAGTATATGCAAATGTATGTGCACACAGTCATATGCGGTGTATAAATAAAAGCCGCGCCAAACAAACTGATAAAGCGAACAAAAAATGTTCATCGCCTTTTTCAAATATTTAATGGCAACTCATTTGTAGTAAAGGATGTAGGCATACACTCAGGATTATGTACACATATGTACATATGTATATTCCCCTTTTTATGTACAACTTTTCAGCACTTAGTTTTTGCTCTTTTTGCCCATTTTGTGGCATTCGTAAATTTCAACTTTATGTGCAAATTATTCGTTTAAAATAGTCAAGAGACACATTTTGAATGAGGAAACAAATAAGTTAGGATCTTTTTTAGATATTCAAGCAGTTAAGAGACTTTTGTTATTATTTTAAATAAATATAAAAAATATAATTAATCATTTCACAGCCAGGCAACAATTAGAAAGTTGTTTTTTTTTTACAGCATTTTCCCCATTTAAAGTTAATTAACAAATTTGTCATTTTTGTTGTGTTTAAATTATTTTTCTGTTTTCTGTTTTCTGTTTGTTTTTTCTCTCTCGTTTTTCCCTCTATGGTTTTCATGTTAAATGCTTCGACCCACAACGTTGTGGCTCTAACTGTTTTTCCATTTGGCTGATAAGAGACCGAAGTGGAAGCCAACATTAATAATTTTGAGAGTGGGCCACAGCAAGCGATTGTGGGAAATATTTGTTTAAATTTGATTATAAAATCTATTTGGTCCTATAATTTTGTTGCGCACTGTCTGCAGAGTAAATATAAATTATATTTCCCCTTGTTTTGCATTTCCAGTTTTTCGATTTGTTTCATTTTTCGATATCAGCTGCTATTGGTCCCTCCATGCCACTGCCCCTTGCCACGCGTTTCACGATATCGTTTTTTTATGATAAATCAAAAATCGATTTCGTTTTAATGGAGCGTTTTATGATATGATTTAAATATGGCTTCGGCTCCACTTTACATAGAAATAACGTTTTGGGAAAGGCACAAAAATGCGCCGATATTTGGAGGCCTTTGGGGCAGGCGTGTTTCATTAATGGGTTTTGAAAGCTTCCATTTGCATACATCTGCGCTTCATTATATTTGTTTGAGGTGTTGTTGTATTGTTCGATTTGACGAAACCGAAGCCCATACAATTATGAGTGAGATCGCGCTTCCGCTGGCAGTCGGCCTGGCATAAACCTGTAATAAACCGGCAAATATTTCTACAATATTTACCCGTTCGTCAATAAATATGGCAAAAATCATAGCAGTCTTGGCAAACAAGCTCTCTAAGGCACACATAAAAGAAAAAACTACAACGTGTTGGTACCCAGAGCAACAAATGAATGGCAGCCATAAATATTATTTACAACTTGAGGAAAAACCCCCTGCGGCTGTGCACCAAATTTGGAGTCGCAGGAGTGCCTAAATAATAGATTTTCCTGCGCTTTTCTTTTCCTTTAAATTTTAAAGCAAAATTGAACTCACCTTTGTCGGCGCTTCGAGCGCGATCCTTCAGCTGTTTGACAATGCCATATTTCACTGTGCCAAATTGTATCATTTTATTGATGGTCTCCTGGTGATTATCCTTGAAGTCACTACGCATTGCACACAGCACGTTGGACAGGTGATTTTTCATCAAGAGAACTTTTGTGACCGTTAAGCACTTTCGCTGCCGCTCCTCACTCTCTTTGCTCTCTCTCTCTCTTTTTGCTTTGTATCCTTTTCGTTTTGTTTATTTGTTTGTTAACTTTTGATCATTGCACTGTTTTATGTATGGGGGGAGGGGGTTGTGTGTGTGTGTGGGGGGTCGGGGAGTACTCTAATATTTTGACAGGCCTCTGTCCCAGGACCGGGCGGGAGGGATCTCGGCGACTGTTTGCTTGTCATGCGCGCAGGACTCGCTCCATGTTCACCGTTGACCGTTACCGTTGCGATCGTTATTGTTATTGTTACTGTTATTGTTGTGGCTGCACCGTTACTGCCAGCTTAGCCGCGTTCACTTTATCGTTTTGCCGTCGGCGGATCCGCCTTGCCCCGCTCTCGATCGCTGATCTCAAAGCTGCACGGGCACTGTCATCGCTGGATAGATGGATGGATGTCTGGGTCTGGCACTGCACTGCTACGCGTTTATTGTGGGGGAAGTGAGGGAATAAACTCTACGCGATTCACGCGTCACGCATACGCAACGTTGCTCTCGGAATCTGTCGCTGGTCGCGAGCGAACGAACGAACGTATCTTTGTATCTGAGCGTTGTTGCTCGTTCGATGTGGCGCGTCGAACTGACACAAACAATAACGGCCACACGACCAGACGGCCGGTTTCGTGTCCCACCAACAATATTAATACATGCGCGCGCGACCCAGCCGCTCTCTCTCTCTCTCTCTCTCTCTGTGTGTGTTGTTATTACAGCAGAGGCAGACACACACACACACACACACACACACAGAGGGACAATCATTCAACCAACCACCGCACACACACACACTCTCGCTGCGGCACCCTCTCACTCACTCTCTCTCTCTCTCGCGCGCATTTCATTGAATATTACGCTCTCGCTCTCACATTTCATATCATTTTTCATATGCGCTCGCTCTCGCACACACACAGATGCTCTCTCTCGCGCGTTTTCCCTCTCATCATAATTTTTATTAAATTGCGCTGTCTCGCTCGCTCCCGCTGTCGCGGGCATGCGGCTAACTGTTACTGTTACTGTTGCCATCGACCTCTGGCCTGTCGGCGCGCAACCAGCAGCCAGCCTCTCTCACTCTTACCTGTGGCACGGTGGCAGCATTTATGAAACTTGTTCGAAAAATTATGAGCCACACACACACACAAGGAAAGCAAAGTAGAAAAAAGAGAAGGAGAAATACACACAGGCAGCAGCAGCAGCAGCAGGAGCGCTTCCGGCTGGAGAGAGTCGCTCAACTTTTTCGGGTTCTCTCTCTTGCTCTGCCGCTGTCTCGCTCGCACTTTGATTAATAATTTATCATAATTCATACACAGCCCCGGCCCCCCTGCTACAACACACACACACACACACGTTCCCTGACAGCATTTGCTGGCCTGCTCGCACTCAGGCCTGCGCGCCTGCCATTTGTTGCGCTCGCTCGCTCGCTCTCTCTTCCTCTGGCTTTGCTCGCTCTCGCTCTGGCTATCTCTCTCTCTCTCTCTGGCTCCCTCTTGCGCTTTGGCGCAGTTATGAGCGCCCTCCTGTTTTTGTTGCTTTTTTAATTTCGGTTTTATAAGATTTTCTTCAGTTCTTTGCTATTGTTCGTATCGCCCCCAGCCCTTCCCCGCTCCAACACTTCGTTGACTTCGCTTATTCGTCAGTCGTGCATGACATGCACACGTCTCAGTGTGTGTGTGTGTGTGTGTTTCGTATGAGTATTCGTTGAATATTATGAGCCATTCATCAAATTCGCTTTTTTGTTTCTGTTTCTGTTTCTCTTTTTTTTTGACTCGAACTTTTTGGGCAACTCCCACTTCTTTAATTATTTTGTTATTGCTTTTGCTACGCTCTTTCCGAGGCGGCTGGCTCTATCTCTCTCTGCCATGTGCCCCACTCTTTCCACGAAAATACCTGTGGGAGCTGGGCTTTAGTTGGCACCAAAAACACCTGGCGATTAAAAATGTTACTCAAATTGTTTCAAAAAAATTGTTGAAAACATGTGACAAATGAGTTATGATTAATCGTCGGTAGGGCCATGAATTGACTTTTGGAATGCTTTGTTTCTGCCTTTGGTTAACTTTCAATGTTAAATAAATTGAACAATTCCAAAAAGTTACAAAACAAATTGAGCAATTCTGATGTACAAAAAACAGCTGTTAGTCAATGGATTATGGTTTTTGGAGTGCTAATTGGAAAGGAATGTGTGTTTAGCAGAGAATAAAACACATTTCCAGCAAAGGGCAAAGATTTATAATTTTCCATCTAATGTGTGCCGTGACTTGGGTTATAAAATAAATGTTTCTGCTGGAAGTTGGAAGTTGGAATGGCAAAATATCATAATTTAGCAACAGTTCTTCCAGTTTTTATCTTGAGTTAACAACTTATTATTCCGACAACTAATTAGAAGGGAAATGACAACTGATTCGGGTAGCATATGGCTGTCATTTATAGCTAAAGAAAGCTTTGCAGACTCTAGAAGTTGCCTTCAGCTAGGAAGTTCCTATACTAAGAAACATAATTCAAAAATATTTCCATATACCCAACTTTTCCTAGAAATTCTTAGTTCATGATTGGGTTTATAATGGTAAGATTGTCAGAGCGGGAAAGAATTCTCCAGCCAATAGGAAAAAAACGCCAGTGAATGCGAGTAGAAAAAGTGGAAATAAAAGTAAGCATTAATAAAGCTCTCGAAGCTGACGTCGCTGTCATAAATTGTAGCGGCGATGGGAAGAGAGCTTTGCAGAAAGTGTAGGAGCAGCGGAACGAAGCACTTGCCAGCAGCAACCGAAGGATAGACAGAAGGAGGGAGAGGAAAGGAGCGCAGAAAAGTAGCAGTAAAGCCAAGGAAACAATGAAAAAATTGTGAGCAGCAGTCAGAACAACAAAAAAAAAAAGAAATGTCGAAAGCCAATCTCCGTGCCACCTTGCGCACCAGTAAGAAAGAAGAGCCAACAGCCAGAGTCAGTGGCAGAGCGGCAGCGGTACACGATGGGAGCGGGAGCACCCGCCTCCATTTCCAGCATGTGTGCGTGTGTGTGTGTATGTGTGAGATGGGGTTTGTTTATGTACAAGCCAAATACATAATTCATAACGCTCATATTCGCTCATGTTGCGCTGCCATCAGAAACGCACACAGCGGCAGCGGCAGCGACGCTCTCGCTCTTCGGATTCTTACAGGTTGTCTGCTTAGTCGCTCTCTCTCACTCTCGCACTCTGTGTTAACCCTTGTCGCAGATGTGTGTGCCTCTCTCTGCGCTCATTTACGAAATGTCAGCTATTTCTGTCACGCTCTCCCCGCCTGTCTCTTTGTCTGTTAACTGCTGCTCGCAGGCAAACAGTCTTATACGCCTTTAACATAACCACAACAGTCGTCGCTTATGTAAAAAGAGGGGCAACCATTCGTACAGCAATGTTATGGGTTACTCTTGAACCTCTGTTAGCCGCTTTATGGCTGGCCAAAGCATCATTAAACGCCCAAGATGGTCGCGATATGTGGTCCATGCAATCTCAATAGCCATTAGCATCATAACCATAAAACAATAGAGTGAATATCTTTTTATATTTGATTCGCCAAAACTCAATAAGGCCATTGGCAAATGGCTTAATTAACGCGCGATTATTCAATATATTTCGAGGGATTCGATTATTGATTGAAATTAGTCATAGGAGAAGTCCGCTCAAAGCTGGCACTGGAAATAATATAAGAAAATTGAATAACTGAATGATTTGATCTGAAATAAAAATAAATCAAATACGTTTCAGATTGCATTAGGGCTTTATTTCCTTCAGTTCTCATCAAATGATCATAAAATTGTACAATTTTATTGTATAAATCCCCTGTTAAACTCCTATTCAGAGTGCCTCAATGCTTTGCTTCCCGTTCCGGCACCCTTTCAATTATTCATTGCGATCGGTCGATTCCGAGTGGCAAGTAATCAAAAATGCAATCGGCCAGCTCGGTTTGTGTCAGCCCAGTTCTGATACCCTTTCTGCCTTATCGGAGGGGCATAATCTGAGCACCGAATTTCAATATCGTTCTGCGGTCGGTCCCTTTGTTGCCCTAATTTAAAATCCGAAGCGAAAACAACACACAAATTCGAATTGTACGAAAGTAAAAACGAAATGAAATGCAACTGAAATAAAATAAAAAACGGAATTACTTCCGTTCGCCTGTGGGTCGGTCGGCAGATTTATGAGCGAACGCACTCAGACCCAAGACGGTCCTGCCACAGGCGGTTGCCTCAAAGTACCCCTTGATAGAGGGAGAGAAAGCAGGAAAATGCATTGGAAAACCGAATGCCTGACGCATTCCAAGTGCCCAGCGATCGCTTGCCGCAATTATTGGAGTCACAAGCAAATGTATTTCGAGCTGCAGACACGTTCCGTGCACCCCAGCCACCCGTCTGCGTTCGTGTCCTGCCAAAGGATTCAGCGTTCGCTCGTTTGTTCTGGCCGCTTGCGCTTTTCACACTTGTCATAAAAATTGTTACAGTCTGCGGCCCGTACTGAGCGGCAAGGAATGTTCCATGGAATATTTACATTTATGTTTGAACAGCAAATATATTTATATGGATATGCGAAGAGCCTGAGCCTTGGGCTGGACTTGCGATCGGTCAACGTGAGGACTCAGCCAAACTGAGTGAGGAGCCACTGAGGAATCCTCTTAAAGGGGTTTACAATTTACTAAAAGTCTCAACACAGAGACATAATCAAAATTGGTTCCCTGTGAGCCTCTTCTAATCAAACTTTCAGCTGCCACTCCGCGCAGGCGTGACTCCAAGGGCCAAGGAGCGGTTGGAGGTGTTTGAGGCGATTACGTGACCCAAAATCCAGGGGAGTTCGTTTTACGAGTCTCGGAGCTGGAGCTACCGTTTTTGGAATTTTAACAAATTTGAACAAAATTTTATTTGATTTTAATGCTGAACATTTTTGCCGCCTTTGTGGCTCCCTCTGACGACCCCCCTTCACTTTGGGTTAATTATGAATTCTAGACTCGTGGTGCTGAGAAATTTTCTATCAAAATGCGAACTCATTTAAATCGCTTCGAAAGCGTTTGATGTTTGGTTTATGCTCATTTTGCTTCTGGCTTTGGGCTATGGATACGGGGATACTCGTAAAAGGAATTATAAAGTTCTACAGATTGAAGTGTGAGATTAGTTTTCAGCCATGGGGGTTGGGCATACGGAAAAGAAGAGACTGCGAGACTTGAAGACATTTATTTTGTGATTTTTGTTTCAATATTAGCCCCAAAGGATGTCCGCCCTAACGAACCCTTTTCTGTACATAAAATTAACTCCCAGAGAAGTTCATAAATTGAGTATTTATTTATTAGCCAAGTCGCATGTCAATCACCTGACTTCACTGCCAGGGCTCGTCGGTAGTCGGAATGCTGATGATGATTTGGGGACAAAAGCAGTCGCGGAGATCCAACTCCTCCACTGATCATAAATCTCCCGAATCCGGGCAGGGAGGAGTGACCAATAAAAGTACAGAAAAGATAAACGAAGCAGCATTTATGGAGTCCTTTAATAAACTTCAAAAAGAGCTAACAACTCGAGGAGAGATCATCGTCAGTTTTACAGCTCTGGGGAGTCGATAAAGATTTTTAT